GTCTGATGAGTGTGGTGCCGGAGGCCTAATTTAACTCCCTTTCTCTTTACCACCCTTTTCTTATAAGGAGAGGTTGGGAAGAGGAGGTGGATTTGACGGTGGAGAAGATGCATAGGAAGGGGAAATATCCACTTTATGTGCGTTTCCTCCTTCGTCTTACAAGGGTAGGCAACGCATCTGCAATTGCGGATGTCAATGGGCAGCGGTCGCTTCGCCCTTTCAGCGGTTTAAGGTGACTGCTTGCTCGTTTGCCTCCTTATGTTGTAAAAAAAAATCTTATCTAACATCCTAATATAACAATTTTTAATGATGACCAAAAGTAAATTTATAAAATTGAAAATTCGTAGTCCTGCATTTATATTATCATACTAATATTATAAATGTGAAAGTTTAGATGGATGTTTGCCAGAGTTTGAAGCCAAAACTGCTGAACGGATCGAAGGATAGTCTGGAAGGACGTATAGGCTACTGGGTTTTGGTTATTTTAAACAACGCGGATGGAGCCGCGGGTGAAAGCTAGTTTTGATATGTTTAATCAATCACTTGGTCTAGAAGAGCTGATCATACATATACACGTATTTCTAATAGTAAAAAAATTAAAACATACAAATATGTGACATTTTTTAATTTATGTGATAAGTGGACAAAATATGAGAGGGATGTGCTAGAATTACTGGTTTGACAAACAAAGAGTAAACAAGATGTATACCGTGATGTCTGTACGCGGTTGCAGCAGTGCTGGCTGCCAGTCGCCGCTCCAGTGCTGGCGTACCATAGAGTAGGGCCAATCTGTGCGCGCCTCGCTGCCCCACTCTCGCAACCTGAAAATCGCACACATAAACTTAGTAAGTAGCCTATGTTTTCTTGCTATGTACTACATATGTGTAAATTTTCATCGAAATTTGTTAAGCCGTTTTGTATATACGTAGTGATAAACATCCATCGATCCGAACGTTCACATTTAGATAATCTTCTATACATGTAATAAATTGGAGTGTCTGTTTGTAACATTAAAAGAAAAAATCCAGATTTCGGGAAGATGGTGTAATTGCGTTTCTAATAACGAAAATCGCGTTTAAGAAATGTTTGTCTGTCTGTCTGTCTGTCCGCAAGCCAAGTTTGTATCGGGCAATCTCCGAAACGGCTGGGCATATTTCGACCGTACTTTCACTGAAGGGTAACTGACATAGACGGGCATTATATAGGCTACTTTCATAACTTTGGGTTGTCAAAATAGCGTAACGGATGGTCCAAATTTGCGCTAACGAAGTTTGCGGGCGACAGCTCGCATTAGGACAATCACATGGAGCCTTTCATATACATATTCTGTATGTACTTAAAATTAAAAATGTTTTATTAGCGCACTCAGAGTCGATAAGTTCCGTTAGTGGTTTACTGAGGCAATAATAGTGTATAATATAAGTGTATTAACCAGGTTTTAATTTCTCGGATGACGTCGTCGATGTCCTGTACGGGGTGGCACTCGTCGAACACTGAGGTCTGCGTGATGCCATAGTGGAGTGGAACCCCCTTCGGCGTCACCGAACAATCTATGTTCCTTAACATACATATACAAATTAAATTTTAACTAACAAATCAATTTACACCTAATTTTTATATGTATAATTTATTAAAAAAACTTTAAATAACTGGATGTCAGTTCTAGCTTAAATATCTCAGTAATTATTTTTTTCAAAACAAGTACAATCGGGGAAATTGGCGGTGTTCCATCTAAAAAGCTATATTTGTTTAAATGTTTTGATGACGCAGAACCATAACAAATAATATGCAATGTGGATTATGGCTAATTAATATTTAACATTATCGCATCGTCTGCACTCAGTGTTACCTAATTGGTTATTTATAACAGACAGAGATTGGCAATTTTACTGTAGGTAGAATATCGTGGATTTCCGTGACTGTACAATAAAACTCAAAAACTAATAAAAACTATTTGTAAAAAGTTGCTATCTGTGTTTTATAAATAGATAGATATAGATATTCAAACATTAAAATACTAGTTTTCGCCGGAGACTCCGTCCGCGTGGAGTTAAAAAAATAAAAATTAGTAGCCTATGTGTTCTTCCAGACTATCCTCTACTATACCAAATTTCATCGACATCCGTTGTGCCGTTTATGCTACAAAGTCTAACAAACATCCATCCATCTAAACTTTCGCATTTATAATATTAGTAAGATGTGATTACTTGTATTGTAGTGTGAGAGTATGCCTAGCGGAGGTGGTGCCGGGCGTGGTGAGATGCGCGGTGGCGCCGCGGCCGCGCGCCGTCTGCGCCCGCCCCGGCCCCGCCCCCTCACTCTTACCCACCGTAGTGTCCGACAACTCAGTCGTTATCATCACCTTCACAAAAACAAATAGTTTTAACCAATTAACGTGGAATCCATGAATAACCACAGTCATTAGGACATTCAGGGCCTCATCCACCAAATTGTAAAATATTTGATAACAATCGAACATGTTAAATATGTGATAGAAATATCGGATTTTGTTCCCTTATCTGACAGTTACGTCATTTTTAAGCTATCTGACCCTCTATTAGTCAGTGGTGGGAAAAACCCTTTGAATGAGAAAAAATAGTGAGGAAGTTACTGTTTCTGCAGTCATGATCAGTGGTTGCTTAAATCGAGGTGTAATTTTTTTTACATAATGTTTTATTTTATTTTGAAATCATGTAAAATATATTATTTACTAAATAATAAAATGAAAATATTAATATTAAGGTACTCCTTAGTGAAGATTCAAGGGTTTTAAAGATAAGTACCAAGTATAAACTTAAGTAGTTAAATAACTCAATAAGTTAATTGAATAAATTGAGTGCAAAAAGCCGCCTCCTGGTAAATCCTAAAGTCAGAAATACTAAATTCTAATCCCAAGATTACACTGAGCTAGTACTTTGAGTGTCTCAGTAGGTTCCATAAAAATTAGGCTGAATGCGGTATTAAAAGAACTGTTGGAATTGTATTTATTTTAAGAAATACCTCGGTGTCCAGGGAGAGATGTGAGCGCAGTACAAACAGCGGCCAGAAGGTAGCCAGCAGCCGGCCGTCGGAGGAGGCGCGCGACACGCGGCACCATACAGACACGAACGCCATATCATCACCGCTGGGTACTGACACACAATATATTATAAAAAAATTGCGCGGGACTTTGCTAAAGAAAAGGTCAAAAACTCGTGTGTTTTCAACAAAATTTAATAAGACATGTTCAACCTTTCGAAGACATCAAGTGAGAATCAAATGTATCGATTCTACGTAGCCTGTATACGTATCTATACCAAATTTCGCCGAGATCCGTTTTGCCGTTCTGGAGATACCTTTAAATAACCATCCATCCATACATCTAATTTTAAAATAAGCAAGAAATAACATATTACAGCAAGCCGGAAGTTATTTGATGAAAAACATGTTTTTAACTCAGGTTTTAAACTTTAACTTAACGTAACTTTACCTTTAACCAGCCAGGGTACATTTTCTTTTGGACATTCTTTTATTGGAATATCACCCGACCAACCGGTATCGTGTGACAAGAATTTGACCCTGAAAAGAGACATGTTTCATAACATTAACAATGTTTTAAAGCAAATGGGAATCTAAATTCTCAACAAAGTGCTAATAGATTGAATTAGAACGTATAGCTCAAGACTGAATTTTGTAAATCCTTAGATAAACAATTATCTTAAACCACAACAATATTGATACTTATAAATGCTTAATAATAAAAACAGTGCAAGAAGAAGAAAAGAAAGTTTTTCTTTTGGAAGAGCAGCACATACTGTGCCGACCCTCCGTAAGGGATGAGGGCAAGTGGATGATGATGAATAAAAATAGTACAAGTTGTGCTTACTTAAGAGAAAGATCAGCGGCTGTCTCACAAAGGAGGGCGGGACAGACGCGCTCGGGGGGCAGTTCGCCCGCGCACTGCCCGCGCCATTGTTGCGTCGACGAACAACGAACGCGCACCTAGTATAACATAAGAGTAAATGATGAGGACAATAAAGAGGTTTTTATTATTATTTTATTTTTTAAATCAATTATTTGAAATATATTAATATGCTTTTTTCTTGTGGCCAAACAATAAAAGAATTTACAATACAAAATCATTGCTTATAAATTATCTTATCCGTGACATTTTAGATGCAATTGTATCGGCTAATCAGTAGTGAATATTTCGACAGATTTAGTACACTAATAAAAAGTAAGTGGTGTATCAAACACCTAATAAATATTACAAGCTCTTGCCCGCGACTTCGATCTAACGAAATTAAAAAAAGGAAACTTAATTAGCCTATATGTTCTTCCAGATCACATTCTACATCAATACTAAATTTTAGCGAAATCCATTCATCCGTTGTGATAACAAATATTGATTTTATTCACCCAAAACATCGCATTTATATCATACTAGCTGTTGCTTAAGACTTCGCGGGCGTGAAATAAAAAACCCTTTATAATTATTTAAAAATAACTTAAAACTACTGAGCCAATTTCGAAAAATCCTGAAAGCTACGTTTGTAGTGAGTAACAAATTCTTTTTTACGCGCATAAAGTATGATAGTATAATTACTTGTGCAGACTCACCTTATAGAGTAGTGTATGTCGCAGCATGTTGGCGAGCGTGAGTCTGCCAGTGAGCTGCATTGTGCGCGTGGGGCCGAGCGCGGTGACACGAGCGTACACGAACACGCCCGAGCCCGGCGCGAGGCTGGACAGGCGGG